AGGCAACATTGTAGCTTGTATGTTTGTAAGCTATGTTTCTCTAGTTGAGGGGTAGGCAGCGTTTGCCACTCCAGATGTTGTGGACTCCATCTCCCATGAGGCTATGCCAACATTATGTGTGAGAAATATGGGAGAAGTTGCTTACCCCACTCTAGTTCATTGATACTTCACTGAACATGCAGCATATTTCACCAACACCTACCATGTCATTGGTAACATTGGTAACATGATGAGGCATATTGATTATGCAAATTGAAAAAGCTGAACATCTCAGTAGGATGTTAATCAGACTATAATTAACTATAATTAACATCCTCATGTCATTTAAATTGACTGGGATACAGGACTAGCGGTTCGGCTAGAGGTAACAAGTTTTCTGAATCTGCTAATCCATTTCTCCTTTAGTAGTTTACGCATTAACTAGAATGGATGCTTGTCTGGATCTGGGAATTGATAATAGCATTGGCCATTTCCATAAAGAAGTATTTGGGAAAACAATGAATGCTACATTGTGTTATTTGAGATCAATAAAAAAAAAAAAAAAGACATTGGTCATTTAAATCTCTGCCAATCATAGCATTCTCTTGGATATACTCCCAGATCATCCAGATCTTATCTACTGAAGATTTGGCACTGATATTCATATCTGGTCGGTGTGGCCTCTGATCAAACACTTTTGAGATTATTCCATATTATGTAACGGCAACACTAATATTTTTTTCACATGTATTTATCAATTGTAGGATACAAAAGCATTCTTACAATCCACTTAAATGATGTGCCTGATGTCTGATAAAAAGTTTGTATTTCGTTTATCTTCTATCGTACTGAATTTAGGGTTGAGGAAGGAATAGGAGGCATTCATCATGCCCAGAGCCTGATTAAGGTTGCCCAGGGTCCTAGGCAGGATGTCAGATTGTGGTGCCTTCCTAGAGCTCTTTTTCTGTGAGTGGTTTGGATGTTGTCATGGGTGTGAGAGAGTGTGTGTAGCAGCTGGGTGTTGTGTGTGGAAGAGTTTGAGAGTTGTATGGGGGCTGGGTATGTCTGTGTATGTGTAGGGGAGTGTGGATGTCTGCTTGGCATTAGTTTGTTTTGCATCCCCCACCACATGCTTACCTACCCTGGTGGTCCAGCGGAGGATGAACAGAATCCCTGGTTGTCCAGTGGTTGGTAAATTGGATGCCTGGTATTCCAATGGGGTAACACCATTGTCTGTACCAATATCAGACACAAACCACTGTAAGGCTTTTGCGGTTGCGGTGCTTATTCAATGACTCCATGCTCTGGCTGTGGTGCAATGAGTCATCAAGGTGTTCCGGAGAGACAGAGAGGGTGCTCTTAAAGTGGTCTTAACCGGATATTGGTACAGACCAAAACTCTTAGGGCTCTGCAATAAGATATTTTTCACATGAGGCCTCTACCTCATTAAGCCCTCCCTCTACCGTTAGCTCACAGAGTCGGGAAAGTAAAATCAAAACCACATATTTTGATCCCATTCATTGTCTGAATTCATCAGCTGGCACACAATAATTAAATGTTGTATAAAGTTGCACAAAATTGATATTGTTAATGCATAAGTATAACTTTCACATTAGCAATATGCTGGGCTTGGAGCCTGGTACAGGAACTCAGGGACTCTAAGATGTTTGTGACAAACTACTTTAAAATAGATTCACAAAGCACAGGGGTAGACCATGAGGAGCTGTTAAGCACCATAACCACTACTGCAGACTTTAACAGTTATAGTGCTCAGAGTGTCCCTTTAGGCAATTGTTTTTATTCCTCAATGTGTGTCTCGCAGTAAAACAGAGGTTTTTGTGTCCGTTTTAAAATCATGTGATCACATAGTCCCATTGTGCTTTTGTTGCCCCATGTGCAAGAACATTACAAGCCTAGATTTTGATAAATTGTCTCTTCTGATGCTTGGTCACATGATCTCATTAAGGCTAACAAGCTCATTAAGCAATCAAAAGCAACTGTTTGCAGAACGTTTTGTGTATATGTGCCTTATCAACAGATATGAATTGGTTTCTAAATAGTTTTGATAAACTTAAGATCTCAATTTCCCTTTTATAACCAGCCGTAATGACTATGTAAATTTTTCCTGACATCCCCAATGAGGGGCTGTTAGCAGTACAAAGCACAGCACAGCCGTCTCACTAGTTCAAGGGAATGGTGTGGTGTCATGTCAAAATTGCTCTACAAGTAAACCAATTTTCTCGACAGGACGGTAAACACAGGCCTCATTTGGAAAGCTAGATGAAAAAAGCATATGGCGATAGAACAAACATTTTTCCAAATTACAAAAGACTTTTAAGTATGTTAACGGTTTGCATGTACAACGTTACAGCCGTAACCTTAAAATGAAACTACAGTAACTTCTCCTATTTCACTCAGGCTCTTTAAGACTTTCTTTTTAACATTGTAAAGTGTTCAAAATAAACTAGATTTTAAAGAAATTTGAGCATTACGGTGCAGTTATTCAGTTATTATTATTATTATTATTATTTTATTATTTATATAGCGCCAACAAATTCCGTAGCGCTGTACAATGGGAGTACAGTAGGAGTAAGATATCGCGGACATACTTCTACTGACGTATATAAAAGAAGTATGACCAGTAGAACACAAATGTTCTGTAAGTCCTACAGAAGACTGGTCAGATGATAAGAGTTTATCTTTACTATGGAGATTGGTGCATAAGATACTGATATGATGACACTTTGGGATAGAAAAGGTCAACAAATTTAGATGGAGACATGACTCCTTGATGGTTTTTGAGTTTTATTGGGGGAATTTGTATTTATTAGGAGAGGGTGTATCACGCATAAAAGAAATTTACAATTCAGGATTCACAGGTCTCAAAACAAATGCAGAAAATTACATACTCGCAGGTCTCTGGGTGTGTGAGATAAAGCGAATAACAAAGAAAAATCTCTGTACAAGTTTCAGCAATATGTGGATATTGTAAACCCTATGTGGTCAACCATTATTTAACCCCTTAAGGACGACGGGCGTACTATGCCGTCCCTGAAAGGGTGGCTCTAAATGCTGGAGGGCAGCATAGTACGCACAGCTGTCCTCCCGCCGTCCTGGCCCTCTGAGTTTACCTGGACCGGCGATCTACAGCGATCCCGGTGGAGGGGGGCTGCCCGAGAGCACAGCAGTCCCTCTGCAGCAGCTTCGGCCACCCCAACTCTCCAGGGCTATGTGATCAACGTGATCACATGGCCACAGTAGAAATCTAAGGAGCTGCCTGCAGGGGGACTGTCTGAGCTGTCAGGCAGCCCCCCTGACACCTAAAATGTACAAATAAATTAAATTAAATATACAAATAAATATATTATACATATAACGTATATGTATAATATATTATAAAATAATTAAAGCATTTTACAATATATTATACATATTTAATGCACATAAATGATTTTATTATTATTATTATTATTATTTTATTATTTATATGCATATAGCATATACATTGATGATATTCTGTTCATATGGAGGGGCGAAAAAAAAAACCTAATGACATTTATAGAATTTTTAAACAATAATACCTGGGAAGTTAAATTAACCAGTAACTGGAGTAAAGAGGAAGTTACCTTCCTGGATCTTAATATTTATATTGAAGAAGGAGTTTTTAAGACTAAGAACCACTTCAAAAGAGTGAATTGCAACAGTTTTATTGAAAATATAAGTTGCCACCATTCTCCATGGTTTAAAAAAAAGGCCCAAAAAGGACAATTTTTGAGAATTTGCCACAATTGTAGCGATATAACTAGTTATGAAGACCAATCATTAAGAATCAAAACAGATTTCCTTGAAAAAGGATATGTTATAAACAAATTGGAAAATTCTAGACTGGAAAAAAAAGAAAAAGAAAGAAAAGATTTATTAGTATATAAAACGAAAACTAGTTCAGAAATAAAGGATATTCCTTTCATTTGCAATGACAATACCAATAATTATCAAGTACCAAAGATCATAACAAATATTGGCCGATCCTCTTACAGGATCCTGCTTTGAAGACAATCCTTCCAGAAAAACCTAAGTTTGTTTACAGAGGAGTAAATAATTTGAAAAGCACACTAGTAAGGAGCTTCCTTAAGGAGAAAAAAGATCCACCCACTGTTTTTTAGAAATTAAAAAGGGTTTTATGGCTGTGGTCAATGCGCAGCCTGTAAAAATCAGGATGTACTAGAAGAGTCATCAAAAATGTTATTTCTAACGAAGGAACCCAAATACCAATCAAAGTGTTTATAACGTGTTATACCAAAAATTTAATCTATCTCTTAACCTGTCCATGTTAGAATTAGGAAACACATATACAACATACAGAAAGGGTTCGAAAACCATAGTGTCCCAAGTCATTTTAAAATATTTCACGATCAAAAAGCAGATGGCCTATCTTTTATTGGGAGAAAAAAGGTAGACAAAAATTGGAGAGGTGGTGATTTTACTCGAGAACTAGGAAAGTCAGAGATGGAATGGATATTTAGGTTGAACTCATTAATACCCCATGGTCTCAACTCTGACTTCGAGTTCTACCACATTTTATGAATAGAATAGATTTTTATCTTTACTTTTCGTCTATACAGATTGTTTATACTGGTATTACATGTTTTATATATTTTGTTATGCCCTTATATACATAGCCTCCCATTTTTATTTTATATATTTTATATTGCAATATTTTACTAATAATTGTATGGACTGGCACTTAGTCGAGTTTTTATATATAGTATATTTATAATATATGTATTCAATTGATGATTCAGGATTCTATTTTGAATTAATCTTAATCATTTTTTTTAAGAGATCCTAATACATTTTAGATTTATCTAGATCTAGCTTTTTCCCCCTTGTCTTATTCATATCCTCCCCTCCCGTCCCAATAGGATGCTGCTTTTTTGAATTCTTCTCACACAGATAATAAGAGATACAAAGAGTCCTTAATTATGGTTCAAGAAACCTTGTTTAAACTTGTATCTTCAAAGGTCCAGATCGGTATAATATTACAAATATTATCATCATACCAGATCGGTATAATATTACAAATATTATCATCATACCAGATCGGTATAATATTACAAATATTATCATCATACCAGATCGGTATAATATTACAAATATTATCATCATAACAGATCGGTATAATATTACAAATATTATCATCATACCAGATCGGTATAATATTACAAATATTATCATCATACCAGATCGGTATAATATTACAAATATTATCATCATACCAGATCGGTATAATATTACAAATATTATCATCATACCAGATCGGTATAATATTACAAATATTATCATCATACCAGATCGGTATAATATTACAAATATTATCATCATACCAGATCGGTATAATATTACAAATATTATCATCATACCAGATCGGTATAATATTATAAATATTATCATCATACCAGATCGGTATAATATTACAAATATTATCATCATACCAGATCGGTATAATATTACAAATATTATCATCATACCAGATCGGTATAATATTACAAATATTATCATCATACCAGATCGGTATAATATTACAAATATTATCATCATACCAGATCGGTATAATATTACAAATATTATCATCATACCAGATCGGTATAATATTACAAATATTATCATCATACCAGATCGGTATAATATTACAAATATTATCATCATACCAGATCGGTATAATATTACAAATATTATCATCATACCAGATCGGTATAATATTACAAATATTATCATCATACCAGATCGGTATAATATTACAAATATTATCATCATACCAGATCGGTATAATATTACAAATATTATCATCATACCAGATCGGTATAATATTACAAATATTATCATCATACCAGATCGGTATAATATTACAAATATTATCATCATACCAGATCGGTATAATATTACAAATATTATCATCATACCAGATCGGTATAATATTACAAATATTATCATCATACCAGATCGGTATAATATTACAAATATTATCATCATACCAGATCGGTATAATATTACAAATATTATCATCATACCAGATCGGTATAATATTACAAATATTATCATCATACCAGATCGGTATAATATTACAAATATTATCATCATACCAGATCGGTATAATATTACAAATATTATCATCATACCAGATCGGTATAATATTATAAATATTATCATCATACCAGATCGGTATAATATTATAAATATTATCATCATACCAGATCGGTATAATATTACAAATATTATCATCATACCAGATCGGTATAATATTACAAATATTATCATCATACCAGATCGGTATAATATTACAAATATTATCATCATACCAGATCGGTATAATATTACAAATATTATCATCATACCAGATCAGTATAATATTATGCATTAAAACTACTCATATGCATTATGTATCTTTTTGTATTTAGTTATTTTACATGTATCATAATTTATCCTCATTATGTTACAATTTGGAACTGACAATTTCTCCTCATGTCTGTTCTATGTTTTACATATCGGCACATTTTGAGTTAACATCATAAGAACGAACTTTCAACTCTGCAATAATAAATAAGGAAGAAATTGGACTCCAATAAGGGACTTCAGTTCAGAATGAAATTGCACTAAAGCTTCCGTTACACAAGTAAATCAACAACTAAAACGAGAGACTCCAAGAACGGACTATGTGTATGTTGGTATATATTAACAGGACTCCGTGTGAGGGCACCCGTTAACTACCTTTGAACGTGACATCACAATGAGGCATGAACCGCACACGTCTTACCTGTGGGTGGTAATGACATAACGGGATTCATTATGTCATTACTTTATTTCACAATTTAGGAGGTATATAAACTACTCACGGTGAACCAGGAACTACTTGACATTTGATCCGGTTGAAGAAGCCACATTGCGGTGGCGAAACGCATCCAGGTTATATTATGACATTGAGCCATATTTTATATTATATATTTTGTTAATAAATTTTATTTTTAATATTCTTCATCCTGGTTCCTGATTTTATAATCCAGCATAACGAGAGTGCAGTCCCTAACTGCACAGCGCCTACCCATAGAGTCATTTGAGGCTCCCTGTTTGTAAGTACCCATTTGGGGAATTTATTCTTATTCCAAGATTACAGACTGTGCTACGCAATCCTGTGTATATGTATTCCTCTCCAGGACAAGATATACATCTCAAGTAGGGGTGGGTCGCCTATACGGACCCAGAAGTCATTTACACCAGAGCTGGGTCCACAGCTCTCTGTTTATATCGATGAAACTGTGGGAATTAATCTTGCAAATAAAGAAGACATTTTACTGAAGACCATAAGTGCTGCCATTCCTTTCGTTTCTTGGATAACCAAAGTCCCAGGCTGAGCACCCGGCAAGTACACCATACTATACCCTGAGTGCAAGGATTTTCGGTTATTTATATATATATAAACACTCGAAGTTCCTTGCACTCACGCTTTCAAAATCTTTTCCAATGCCGGGTGCGCAACGCCTGGGCTCCAAGTAATGTAGATAGCAATGAAGTTGGCTGCACTCCGGTCTTTAAAACTCCAAATCTTTATTAAATCAAAATTAAAATGATTGACATTTCAGGGACCTTAATCAGGATAAAAACACACAACACAATACATACAGGTATATATTTCAGCAGGCTGTAATTTGTATGTATTGTGTGTTTTGATCCTGAGGAAAGTCCCAGGAGAGACTGAAACGTCGATCATTTTAATGAGTGCAGCCAACTTCATTGCTATATATATATATACACACACACATTCTACATATATATTTAATTATTAATTTTACATAATTATTTGATTTTATTAATTATAATTTGAGGACCTGCCTGACAACCCAGGCAGTCAGAAGAATTTAATTGGCAAGCACTATATTTAACCCCGTAACTACCCAAAACACCATAAAACCTTTACATGGGGGGTATTGTTATACTTGGAAGACTTTGCTGAACACAAATACTAGTGTTTTAAAAAGTAAAACCCATCATGACGATGATATCACCAGTAAAAGTGCAATTTTTGTTGAAAAAGATGCAAAAAACAAATAAAAACGCTAACTTTGAATACCCTGGGTTGTCTACATTTGAATACCCTGGGTTGTCTACATTTGAAAATGGTATGCCACGATGAGGTTAATTCACATTCCTGGGCTACCATATGGTCTCAAAAGGCCACAGAGACCCAGCAAAAGAATCTGGCAAACTGAATCGGGGCAAAACCCTATATTGAACCTGTAACTTTCTAAAACACCATAAAACCTGTACATAGGGCATATTATTATACTATTATTATACTTTTATTATTATTATTATTATTGCCATTTATATAGCGCCAACAGATTCCGTAGCGCTTTACAATATTATGATAGGGGGATTTAACTATAAATAGGACAAAAAAAACTACGGGAACAATAGGTTGAAGAGGACCCTGCTCAATTGAGCTAACATTCTATAGGAGGTGGGGTGTAAAACACATTAGGACAGGAATTTGCAGTCAAATAAGGTGGGCTGCCCTTTAGGAGCGAGCAAGAGACAGGTATGTGAGGTAGAGGTTAGTCTTGGAGGCCATAAGCTTTCCTAAAGAGATGGGTTTTAAGGCACTTCTTAAAAGATGCAAGACTAGGGGAGAGCCTGATGGCGCTAGGAAGGCTATTCCATAGGAAGGGAGCCGCCCGCGAGAAGTCCTGCAAGCGTGAGTTGGCCGACTTCCCTGAATACAAATATGAGTTTTTCAAAACAGTAAAACTTATCACAACGATGATATCACCAGTAAAAGTGCAGTTTTTGTGTAAAAAAAAAAAAAATGCAAAAAACAAATATGAATGCTTACTTTGGCAAGCCTTTGTGGCTAAGTGGCTACTATTAAAGATTGGACATACCCCATTTTGAATACCCTGGGTTGTCTTCTTTTTCAACTGGTATGACATGGTGGGGTTAATTTTCATTTCTGGGCTGCCATACTGTCTCAAAGGCAACAATTTACAAAAACAGAAATTGGCAAATCTTATATTTGACCCTGTGACTTTCCAAATCACCACAAAACCTGTACTTGAGGGGTACTGTAATCATGAGACAATACGCTACACAAATATGAGTGTTTTAGACCAGTAATATCTATTAAACTGATGTGGCAACTAAAAAAGAGTGGACACATCCCATTTTGCATACTGTGAGTTGTCTTCTTTTATAAATGCTATGCCATGATGGGGTTAATTATCACTCTTTGGCTGCAATACTGGCATACCAATCTGGCAAATTTCAATGTGCAAACATGGAAAATTGGAAAGCCCTACATTTGACCCCTGTAAGTTTCCAAAAACCCATAAAACCTGTGCATTGTGGGTATTGTTGTACTCGTGAGAGATTTCAAAAACCCATAAAACCTGTACATTGTGGGTACTGTTATACTCGTGAGACATTTCTGAATACAAATATGTGTATTTTATTTTATTAAAATCCAACGGTATTATGACATTCACAGTTAAAAATTTCTCAAACTATTTTAGGTTTAATTCATATTAAATTATGTTTCATCTATATATAAATATATTTGTTATGAAAGGAAAGCCCTGTTTCCCCTTAACAAAATGATATATAATAAGTGTGGGTGCACTTAATATGAAAGAGGTGAATTGTGGTTGACAGACATGTAGTGCAAATTCCAGGTTTTGTTTACGTTTTGTTTTGATCACAACTTGTACATTTGGCTCAGTCCTTAACGAGTTAAATGTAAACAGAAAAGAAAGAGCAAATAAATGTAAAAAATTAAATAAATTAAAGAATAATATATATAAAAAAAAAGCTAAGGTCTATCTAGAAGCATCTGAAAGTCAGCTATTTCGGTAGACGTTATCCATTGTGCCCAAATTGCGGTGTATGTCTCAATACAGCCCAATGTGCTGACAATAAGCTCCTTCATCATCCCAAGGTCCTCCATTCTGGCTCCTTGATGGTTTGTGAAGTATCCCTTCAGCCCCTATTTCCAAGTATTTGACAAAATCACAGAATAGTAACAGAACAGTGGTAGCTATTTTTGGCACTGCAGATGTTTTGGGACTGCATATTCCACACAACCAAGCTGGCATTTAGCCTCTGAAACGTATACACATACATATTCAGTGCCATGTCTGGCCATCACTGTATTAGGAAGCTCAACATTGTGCACAGATTATTATACACAGCCATTGATTCTTCAAATGCATAAGAACATGTCCACATTAACTCCAGTAATATAAATTTAATTTAGGGTAAAAAAAAAAAAAAATCGTAGGGATTTCCAAAAATATATAGTGGTGTGCTTAATAATCTTTAAAATATTCTACAGAATAAGTCTTTATATGAAGAAAAAAATCCTTGAAGCGCTTAAATGGAATTCCCCGAATGGCGTAACCACTTTGAAACTGCCTACCAGCCTGGGAATAATCAAGATCATTTTTATGATCTGCTTCTCTAGCGATAGAAGAATATAATCTGGAACTCTAATGGGTTCGATCCCATCAGAGGTTTAACTATGTTTAAGTTGCCCTCTGACCTGACCCTGCCCTAACCAATAGCTTTCTGGGTACGCTAAATGACCACATCTTGCCTGTTGCTGCCAAATTAATGAGCCCATGTCATTGTTAGTTTACAGTTCACTCACAGAGCAATCAAGTGGAAAATTATTCTGCTGGGGAAACTTGCGCACATTCTCAAAGATTATGCCTCTTGTTCTTTAGAAGTCTTACATTTTTCCACCTATTTTTCCTGAGAACTCAATGAGGATCATTCACTAATACAAAGAAAGTCAAGCTTGTTTTCCGGTGTCTGGCCAATAGAAGTCATTAAGCATTTAATAAAAGTCATTTTATATGTACATGCATCAGGGGTTTGTCTGACTGTGGTTCGTAATCAATATTATATTTTGGAAATTCTTCAAACATTTTGCACAGAATATTTTAATTCTATTAATTCTTTTATTTTTCATGCTATTTATTCATTCTTCAAAACATAGAAAAGGCAAAGTATACTTTATCATACTTGTTAAAATGACATTAAGAAATTAACTTCATTGTTGAATTTAGATAAAAATAAAGATATTCTATCATCTGAAAACATGTATTACCTTCAAATAGGTCCTAGATATTGCAACATAATACAGACTAAGCTACATCACACACATAAAAAAATAAATCTTAAATCTTATAAGGCTGCTTAAAATCACCTGTCTCAGGAAACAAATATGGGAATTCAGTTCCACCATATTTTATGATATTGTGTTAAGCTCACCACTACTTCACAGTATCCTAATATCGGTGGGTCCTACACTAACT